TGTTGAGTTCACAACTATTAAATTAAAAAATCATCAATGTTGTCTAAATACAATATTACATACTTGCTAAATAATAAAATATCATGGTTTTTGATCGCGGGCTATGGAAAATAGCGTCGGGCATTTCTGGCCGCTATTCGACGCTATAGCGACGCTATGACCACGCTATAGCGCCGCTATAGCATAGTAGCGCCATGATGTTTTTGCCGCTATTCGCGCTATTTGGCGTTATAGCGGCGCTATTTGACGCTATATAGCGCCAAATAGCGCGAATAGCGACAAAAACAGCAATAGCTTGACGTTAGCTGATCTGAGCCGCTATAGCGCGCTATTTAAAACCATGTAAAATATTAATATCAATTAATAAAATTAAATAAATAATTAAATGCTTTGAAGATGGTAATAATAATTCTTTCTTTTCTCCTCGTTGACTAACTAGAATGTGGATGAACCACATTCTTTTCTATATTGGGGACATTAATTATGTTCACATCATCACAACATTTGTGATCACATTGTACATCAGAGGATAAAAATTTGTGATATTAATAAATGTGATATTAATTTTTTTTTTTTGGTACAGGGACCTTCCGGTTTCCGGATCCACAGGGGAACCGACTAATCTGGAATCGAGCCGGGTAGGACCACAAGGGTGGCAAAGCTCTCCCTCAAGAGTTTTAACACTGCTGCATTCCGAGGGCTCGAACTCGAGACCACTGGTTAAGCTGGAAGAGACTCAAGTCATCTCATCCAAGTGCTCTTGAGTTGTAAAGTGTAATTTATCACTATAATATTGAACATTGGAGTGCTGGATGGTCATATATGTGAAAAAAAAAATGTATTTTATTTGTAGAGGTGATTCCCCTTGATTAAACACTTCATCTTGAGATAATACTTTGTTTGTGAGGAGGGACAGATTTCACACGATTCATGGCGGCCCCAAGGGAGAATCACATGGTTAGCTGATATTTCATCCAGATGTATGTATTATGAAAGTTGTAATTGGAACTTGGTCTTGTCAATTATGTCCCTAATTTTTCAGACTTTTTTTTTTTTTTTTT